GTAAACGATGAATCGGTTCAATCTACCAGAAGAACAAGGCAAAGTCGATGCCGTTGAGTACGTCTTTATTATTTGCATTAGAGAGTGCGCTGTCTATAGAACTTGAGAGCGTCCAAAATCGCTATACACGTCCCCATTAGAAAGGCCACAAGTCCTATAGTGATCATAAAGCAATAATATATTCTGTCTCTAACAAAAACATCTCCCCTGTCGAGTTTCATATTCAGTGCTGCCGGAGTTAGAAAACATATCACTGAGCCGGCCATAGCTCCAACCACGCCCAGAATAATGTTGACATCGGGTAGAATAATAGCAACACAGAGAGCTAAGCCGACAGTTAGAGTAGAAACAACCATGCCAATCACAGTCTTATTCCTCTCTGGCCGTAGGGAGTGTAAAATGGTGATTCTTACAGGGTAGATATTCAGAGGAAATGAACTCACGACCGTCACTGCCGTCATCAGAAATGCTACAGCGACCACCAAGTCGCCTTCATTCAATCTATCACCGAGACTGATGAGGATGTTGGACTTTGTATTCGTACCATAGGCAACGAGGAATGGACATCCTTCCACGGCGTAGAGTAGCAGGACCGAGAATATGCTAATGAGTGTAACCTTGCGCATAGTGCGGGGTGTAGGAGTAGAAAGTTCGGTAAAAATCTCAGGGATATTAGGCTGATTTGCAAAGGCGAATAAGTACGTGTTGAATGCACTCACAAGTGACGACACGTTCAAAGGCTTCCATAGCATGTCCGAAGTGAAAGTCGTGGCCGCACCGTAGCGTATCACCACGTACAGTGATGTTATTGCTAGAAAACATGCACAGAGGGAACCGGTGAGAGTTAGATAACGAATAGAATTAATAGTCTTCATTAACGACACAGGGAGCAGTACTATCACTGTTATCAACACACTGAAGTACATCCTGTTTGTCAAAACTATTGCATACCACACCTCAGGATCTTTCCCGAAGGCATGAATTGTAACAGGACTTACAATGTCGTAGATAGTAACTATATACACCGCGCTTGTGCCGAAGCAGAAGACAAACATCGCCAACTGATAGAGGAATCCCCATCCTCGACCAAAAAGGAGATCAACTACTTCCTCATACGTATCTCGGCCGCTCTTATGTACCACCCTCACGATTAGTCCCACTGAAAGAACAGACAACCCAGCCATAACAGTGAGAAGAATAAGCCCAAGAGCAAGCCCAGCAGAGAGCATAGTAAACGGCAGAGATAAAATTCCCGCTCCCAACGTAGCCTTCATCACATTGAACACAGCAGCCGTTTCTGAGCCGGCTGGCAAAAGGTCAACCAAACAGTTCCATTGAGGTCTCTCTCGTGTCGTTTCGTAGCCCTTCTCTGCAATAGGCGACTCTAGTCCACCCGCGAAAGCCGCCGGACCCGACTTCGGCATCAATAAGGTAATAAAATAAACCGTACTCAAGGTGACGCGTATGATAACGCTCCCGAGGTGTTGAAGAACATGACCTGCACGCATGCACAAACATGACGCGCTCGCTCGACCCAACAGATACGTTTTCCATGAACATTACCAAAACAGTGTTAAGATCTTTCAACTGTTCTTCGCTGCTCGGGTAACACTATACTCAATGGTGGTGACCTGTGGCTCTCCGCAGGTGAATGCTTGAAGAAACCTCTGCTGTGTACAATGTCGAGCGCCGTGACGGGGTAAACCTCGAAGTTTCCTACCGCACCAAAAAGATTCTTTCCGAATACACCGAGTCTAACGAAGCCTTCCTATTCTGATATCCCTATAATACGCTCACGAAAACCCCATCTCAATGGCAATGTCTTGCGAAATACATTCGGCTACCTTACCTCAATCTCACAGAGACTTCACCACCAACCACCACAAGAGCCTCCATCTACCTAGGCAATTCCATTATCACCTTCTA